ATTTTTCAACCGTAAATGCTACTTTTCTAAGGCAATAGGTAATCCATGCAAGAGGTCCTTGGCTTCCTATTCATAGTTATTGTTATATAACCTATCATATGATTATAGGTTGCACTGATGGAACCACATCCAAATTGACCCACCAAAGAGATCAAAAGACGATTACATAAATAGGAAGGGAATTACGTCTATCTGTCTGCAAGCGATATGTAATGAAAAGAAGAAGTTTATAAACATTTTCGTGGGATATCCTGGTTCTAGTCACGACAGTTGGGTTTTACAAAACTCCACTATTTATGATAAGTTGCCGTCGTATTGTGGAGGTAAGTAAAATTAATCAAAACATGAAAAAATCTTATTTGAATAAGAACAGCATTTTTATTTTAGATTAATACCTTTTGGGTGATTCTGCATATCCCTGCAAGAAATATTTAGTAACGCCCTACAGAGATAATGGGCTTTTAACAAATGCCCAAAAATACTTTAATTTAAATCTGAGCTCTGGACGTATCGCTATAGAACACTCGCTTGGCATGTTGAAACAAAGATTCCGTCAGTTATATTACTGTAAGCTCAGAGGAATGGAAAAACCTTGCCACTTCATTCGAGCCTGTTGCGTTTTGCACAATATAGCTAACGAAGATGATTTGGATTTTATTTGCGACACATCTNGAAAAACTTTGCCACTTCATTCGAGCCTGTTGCGTTTTGCACAATATAGCTAACGAAGATGATTTGGATTTTATTTGCGACACATCTCCAGATGTTACTGATGACTTCACCGCTCATGGCGACATTTCAAGGGGGAATCATGTGCGAGATCCTATATGCCAAGAGATAGAACTTCGTCGTAATACATAGAACCGCAGTTGTTTGTTTGTGTGATTAATTTTATGGCATTTTGTTAAAACCACACATTTCATTGAAAACATACTACTAAGTTTAAGCAATTCATGTATTTCAAAAATATACCGCAGCATGCAAGGCTCTGTTTGATTGAAAAAAATTAACAAAAAGTGTGATTATGAAATCCAAATAAAAATTTAATAATAAAACAACATTTGTACTTCATTTCCAGATTAAAATGGCTTAATTTTCGTAGAGGTGTCTGAAATTAAAAAAAAAGGTGTTAGTGAACATAACATAATTTTAAAGCATATTTTTAACACATACTGCAAAACTAGTCATTTCTTTAATATTTCCACCATTGACTTTAGTAAATCTAGTTTCTCCCTCTCCATCCTAGCTTTCTCTTCTGCTCTTTCTGCCTTACTTTTCATGTTTTCTTCAAGCAACTTTCTTAACTTTTCATCCGACTTTTTTTTTCTTCTAAATACTTTTGAAGTGCTGACTTCCTTCTTTTAGATGTTGATGGCCCAATGCCGGGGACGTCTATATAAAGAAAAATACATTTTTGAATAAAAAAGGTAGGAACGTATGTGTAAACATGTTATACTGTTTTTGTATCCGAGCGTACTTGTGCACAAGAGTAATAATACTTTGTTCACATAAATATTATGCATATTTGGAATACCTGTGGCGGGTGGAGTTGCGGGAGAATTAGGTTTCCTTTTTTTCGAAGTGGATGGGGTGAAATCCATATCATCTGCTGAAAATTATGAAAAATCATACACGGAATACGTTCGATATAAATCAATAACACTGTACGTCAAAATCAACATTTTTTCTGGGTATTGGACCAAACCAATTTTTTTTAAGAGATTGAGTCTTAGGTTAAAAAGCAATTTCTCCGTTTTTCGAAGTTAGCCAAAAAAAGTTAAACAAAAAAATTACTAACCAATTTTTAAAAGGTTGGTATCGTTATAATTATTTGTTCTATTTAAATATGGTATTCAATGTATTACTAATTAGTAATTTTTTGGTATGCATATCAGAATAATTAAATATACTTTTTTACCAAAGGTCCTATTTCGAACTTCGAAGGCCATTATCTCGATTTCGGAGGCTAACTTCGAAAAACTGAGAAATTACTTTTTTACCTATGACTAAATCTCTTAAAAAAATTGGTTTGGTCCAATACCCACCCGAGTGCTGTACAGAGTAATAGTTACCCGACGCAGCTGGTGACTGTTCGAGATATTTTTCGGGATCGCTGACATCAGGAAATTTTTGAGTTTCACTGTCCAACACCGCCTCAGGAAAAATTGATTTTCTTTCCCTTAAAAGCTCGTCCAGTTCACTTTTTAAATAGAAAGATGGAAGAAAATCATTAACTATTTCACATCATAATCAACATTTTATTAAAATATTTACTGCTCAAAAGGACAGATCTGTCTTGCCCTTCCAGATTTTGAGTTATTTAATTTCGTTTGCTTATATTGCCTCTCCAGGGTATAAAATTTTATTTCCACTTGTTGCGCGGTATACATGTACCCCTGCTCGCAAAGGTCATTGCTTATGGTGACCCACATATGCTTTTTGCTTTTCAAACTCGCTTTTTTGCCAACCATACCTCGCAACTCTTTCACTCTGTTTAAAAGGAGTTTTGTGGGCGCTTCTAACCACGTAAGTTTTTTGTTTTTTGACGTTTCCGCGTCAATCGGAATGAAGTCTTCTCCTTCCAATTCGCCCGAGGCGCTTTCTCCCATTGCAAAGCTTCCGCTGGGTTCTTCATTTATAATTATGCTTTCGAAAACTTGTTCTCCAGCCACTTGACAAATTATGTGCTGCCTATAATCAGCATCTACAAGGTAATGTAATTAAAATTAATGTGTGTACATGCATATATAATAACATTTTATGAATTTTATAATTACCATCATTAACTCTCTTGAATGTTCCAGGAGTAAGAGTTATATCTAGCTCTTTATTTTCCATTTTATTTACTTTAATTTAATTTGCACCCGCGCTTCTATATGCTTAAACTTTTTGTTCTTTGTTTTTGATCGATTTACGCGCCAAATAAAAATCAGCCNCAACATTTTATTAAAATATTTACTGCTCAAAAGGACAGATCTGTCTTGCCCTTCCAGATTTTGAGTTATTTAATTTCGTTTGCTTATATTGCCTCTCCAGGGTATAAAATTTTATTTCCACTTGTTGCGCGGTATACATGTACCCCTGCTCGCAAAGGTCATTGCTTATGGTGACCCACATATGCTTTTTGCTTTTCAAACTCGCTTTTTTGCCAACCATACCTCGCAACTCTTTCACTCTGTTTAAAAGGAGTTTTGTGGGCGCTTCTAACCACGTAAGTTTTTTGTTTTTTGACGTTTCCGCGTCAATCGGAATGAAGTCTTCTCCTTCCAATTCGCCCGAGGCGCTTTCTCCCATTGCAAAGCTTCCGCTGGGTTCTTCATTTATAATTATGCTTTCGAAAACTTGTTCTCCAGCCACTTGACAAATTATGTGCTGCCTATAATCAGCATCTACAAGGTAATGTAATTAAAATTAATGTGTGTACATGCATATATAATAACATTTTATGAATTTTATAATTACCATCATTAACTCTCTTGAATGTTCCAGGAGTAAGAGTTATATCTAGCTCTTTATTTTCCATTTTATTTACTTTAATTTAATTTGCACCCGCGCTTCTATATGCTTAAACTTTTTGTTCTTTGTTTTTGATCGATTTACGCGCCAAATAAAAATCAGCCGTCACAAAAACTTGCAACTTCTTACTAGTTTTGCGTTTTCGTACTTTCTTGCATGTTTCTCTCACTGAGAGCAAATTTTTGCTCACGCTCCGAAATTTGGTTACTGGCAAGTTACACGATTGAGAGAATACAAAGGTTGCGCCGATCTCGGACCGCTATTCCTCTCTTAACGAATTTGACAGAATCGTTGTTTGCATGACGTCACACTGGTGCAACTTGTTTACGTTTTCCTTGCAACATTTTTTCTTCTTCTTCCATTCTTGCTCACGTTTTGGCATTTCTCTCTCGCAATTGCACCAGTGTGACGTCACACAAAAGTTATTCTCAAAAATCCTCTCTGATCGGCGCAATCTTGTATTCTATCATTCTTGGGCAAGTTACTGGATATTTTTTGCTGGAGAATAGGAAAACACAACTAATCTCTCTCTTGTAGAGCCTGAACACGTTGAATGTGGTAGGGATGGTATTTTAAAGCTTTGTGAACTGTAGTTTTTTGTATTCCAGTCCGTCTTTCCATCATTCTCCCTGAAGTCGATGGACCTAGTTCCACTTCCTCTAACACAGCTTCAACATCTACCGTTGCAGGACGTCCTGTCTCGCCGCCACGCCTTCCAGGTATTAGAGCTCTTGAAATTGTTCGAATAATTCGATTATTCGAATATTCGAACGTTCGAATGGCAATTGTTTGTACNTAAATTAGGTGAATATCCGCATATTCATGCGACGTATACTGCGTGTTCTCTGTCATAGTATTAATAACACAATGTTCGAAGGGTCCAATTTCACAAAATCCGCTTTCACTAATTCCGGTAAGTAACATAAAATAATGTCAGGAGCAGGTAATAATGTACCTTTGTACTATTTAGCATGTCATTGGCGGTAACTTAAATTTAAATCTATTAAATTTATTCTAGCGTGTAGAGCTGCAAAACTATCGATAGTCTGACCATAGATAGTTTCGATGGTTTTTTCCAAAACTATCGATACATCGACGATAGTATCGAATAAATAGAAAAATTTTACAGTTACTTACTTTCGACTTTTCAATAATAACAATTTTTTACGTCTCTTATTTTAATTACGTGTGACGTATTGAACAAGTTTTTTAACTGTCTCACAGTTAATTTAGATATATAAAAAAAAAATAAAAAATCACATAGTATTTAGGTCTCTTTGAAAAAAGTTAAATGAATTAAGTGAGATCATTCCATAACCCACTGGTTTTTGTTCAAAAACAAAATCATGTCGGAATTTTTGGGCTTCAAAGCAGTCCTCCTGTCCGATATAAGGATTCCAGCTTTACTAAAAATTCTTTCGGACTCCGTTGAGGTAGCTGGAATACAAAAGTAGCGTATGGCTAAAGTTTTTATAGCCTCCATGTCACTTGCGTTGCTGTATAAACAAAAGAATTATTAAAAACAAAAGATTAAATTGAATAAAATGTAGTATCTTTAAATAGGTTAAAGGATCAATGTCATGAAGCGCGTTCGGCTTATTAAGGTATTGCCGAAGAGTTATGACTGCATCTACCCTTTTGGATTTTTTTCTTTCCGCAACCTTGTTGTTTATAAATTTAAAAAGCGATTGTTCAGGTTGAAGTTGTACATTAGGTGATGTTGACGGTTCTTCATAATAATGTGAAGATGATTCGGCCCTGCCTAAACTTGCTATTTCATCTTCTAATGCTTTGACTGCACTATCTGCCATGTTACTTGATAAGAAGCCTTCTTTCTTGAAACTTGCATCTAAAATGGTGCCAATTTTTGTAACTGTTCGGTTTTCGTAGTGAAGTAATATAACTCTCAGTCGTCGAATTACATAAGTGCATGTATTGTAACCTTCTGTCGTTTTCATATTAGTTTGCAAATCATTTAATTTATGGTAAAGGTCACACGTAAGCGGTATTATTAATGATATTGTAACAGAATCACTCGCTGATGCTTGTACAGTAGCTTCATGAAATGGACCAAATAATTCCACCAAATCTTTCAAAGTTTCTATTTCGTCTGCAGTAAGAGTCTGTGGAGCTTTTGGAGTTGCAAGTAGAACATTAGAAATAGAACCTTTTGTCTCTATTATTCTTTTAATCATTAGGTACGCACTATTCCATCGCGTAGGAGTTTCTTGGAGCAAACTGTATTGTTTATCATTCTGCGCCTCTTTAAACTTTTCATAAGCAATTGTGCTGCTTTTAAAATAACCAACGATACGCTTACACTTCATTATCACGGGTTTTGTGTTTTCTTGTGATAAAGCATCTTGAATAATTAAGGTTAAAGAATGCGCAAAACACGGTAGGTTTCGTTTTTGAAGTAGCTCGCAAGCTTTAATCATGCTTGCCGCATTATCCGTCACAATTGAAGTTACTTTTTCCAGAACGCCCCACTCCGATAAAACATTGCGTAACGAATTCGCGATATTGTCAGCGGAATGATTTGTGGTTGTTAATAAAGTTGTGGTCGATAATACTGCTGTCTGTAATATCATTTTTTCCGTAACAAAGTGGCATGTGACGGTTAAGTAACCAACATTTGCCCGCGACGTCCAACAATCGGTCGTTATTGCGCAATGTTCCACCGTATTTAAAATTTCTTATAATTTGATTTTAGCATCACTGTACATGTTCTTTAACAACACATTTTGTAGAGTTGTTCAACTAGGCAACACGTATCGGGGATCTAAACATTTAACAAAATTTCGGAAACCTACATCTTCGACAATTCGAAAGGGCTGCACATCTAATGTGACCATTTTCATTAATGATACATCAAGTTCTTTTTTACGCGTCGAAATTTGGTCGTAATTTTCAGACTTACTAAAATGTGCTCATATGGTATTAATCGGCTTTACACAATTATTGAGGGTAGGATGAGCGCGATTCAAATGATCCGACAGGTTGGTAGTATTACCACTAGTTTTGTACTCTCGGCCACAGTGGAGACATTTCGCCAGTTTCTTGTCTTTTGATGGCTCAAAAAAATTTCCACACGTTGGATGAGCCCACTCTCTTTCTTTTAAAACGTTTTCTTTCAGAATCGGATTCGCTACAAGAATCAATATTTATCGAGGTATCTTCACGGGATGCTGTACAAAAATACAAATATTTAATAAAAGAATTACGCTACGTACTACACAATTAATGTACTCTTACTTTTAGCAGATTGCACGAATTTATCCATTCCGTCAATTAAAACCCGTCTACATCACCAACCTAAATAAAAATTCATATGTATGTGTGTTATTAAAAACTTTGCATTTTTCTTTTATATTGAAATTAAAATTATTTTTTCCTTATGCCACATTTTCGCGCTTTTATTTTAGACAAGGATGACACCTTTGATAATTTTAGCGATTGGTAATATATCAATCAGGGGCGCACCCAGGAATATATTTTAGGGGGGGTTTTATATTTCTGAATATATATCACCGGAAAATACTGAAAATTTGCTTCAGATAATGCGCTCTTTAAAATACATTCATGCAAGTTTTATGTACAGTATGTAATAAATAAATAAACGTTTTAAAATCCATAAACTGCACTTTATTTACATAAGATTAACAGAACTCAAACACTTTTAACCGACTTCAAAAAAAAGAGGAGGTTATCAATACGCCGGAATACATAACTTTTGACCACGTGAACCGATTTCAATAATCCTTTTTTTATTGGAAAGATGGTACCTCAAGGGTCGTCCCGTAATTTGGTTTAGAGATCCGATGATTGGATCATGAAGAAATTAACGGTACCCCTAAATTTGAAGTCGGTTGTGTTCTTTCCTTAAAAACTA